ATAGCAAAATATTTTAATTTGACAGAAGTCACAAATTATAATATATTTTGCCAGAAAAAAATTGACCAAATAACCAATAACAAATAAAAATAATTACAAGTGAAAGTATTTTGTTATAAAACATACTCCAGTAAACACTTAAATTTTAAACATTATTTATTTACCTCATAATCATGATGGTTTGCACATAAAATAACCAAATCTAATGCTTTAATAGAGAAATGTGGTAGACCATTAGATCCTAGGCTTTTGTTAATCATAGTCATAACTAAAGATTCTGCTAATTCCGTGAATATTCTACAGTAATTGACAGTTCTGTAACCAAATTTACATGGCATAAAATATAAATGTATATGTTTTTATATTTATCAGCATACCGATCCAAGTCTTCATTAGTAACTGACATCATGTAAGCTTGCTCTAATCTACTAACTGAATTTAAAATTTCAATTTGTATTTCATCTTGGTTGTTATTATCTTCTAGATTCTGGAGGAATGCAATCACTGCATCTGCAGCCGCTTCTTGAACCATATTAGATCCCTGTAATAACAAAAAATATATTTACATACATATCTTAATTTAAACATTGAATAAATCTTTACATCAAAACAACACAACACATTAAATGCATTTGATAGCACATTGCTATGCCAGACTTGTGATAATGATACACTTCTGATGTTTAACCATGACGCAAAACACTTATAAGATCGGATTTTTATGCGTTCATCATTAGCTTCAGATGTCAAGCATAGCTCTAGTAATTGATTGACAGCTGGTAAGTTATCACTAAATTCAGTATAAATTTCAGATCGACGATTAGCACCCAAACGCAAGGTTCGAGAATTCACTTCTTCAGGCAACACAGTCAACAACTCTAGTATGAAACAAGTTTTCAACGAATTGTACCGCGAAGCAATGTCTACAGCAGCGTTCTTCCATGAACCCATTTGGAGAGCTAAGTGTGCCAAAGCAACRCACAACTAAAACACAAACATGATTCAATTGAGTACATTAAGTACGTAAACAAATGACAATATATAATACATTTAAAGTTTAGGAAGTACCTGCGTAGCAATTACACCGTCAGTAGTATCGTCTAATTTTGAYAAATGATTTAGTAGTGCATCTCGCAACGATGCATGTGAATCTTGGGGTAATTCGTGAAAGGAGTTTTGTAATTTAGAGCGCATTGTCTGTGCCGCTAAATAACACGAGTTTAGGTCTACTTTCCTGGCTAATAATTCGTCAGCAATCTTCCATGCGTATACCTGGCGAGGTGGAGAAAATACGATAAGTAATAGTTTTAGTTTTAAGTCTTACCACAGTGTCCGGTCAACAGATCACGTACCGATTTCTGCATTTCGTTCAGCCAATTCGAGGCTCGTTGTTTTTCAGCGGGATTAGTGTTTTGATTGTAGAGCGCATAAATAGCTTCGTATACGGTTTCTATCGAAGGCGAGTCTTCCATTTCAGCAGGTAATAATGTATTGGGCGTGTAAGAATTGTTTGTAGATTTTTTTWAAATTATTWTTTAATAATTACATAATAAAATAGAGTGTTGGGTTAAGTAGAGCGAATATGAATTTAGTTGCTAATAGGTAAAAAGTTGTKGTAGTAAGTAAAAAATGTAATTCATAAGTCGTAACATTTGTTTGATGTTTATAATATCGAAAAATGATAAACCGAAACGTGTGATAGCGGCATTTGCATGGAAAAGACGTGATGCAGGAGCACCCCGGGTTCGTGGTCGATCGAATTCGCCCGCCTATTTTTTTTTTTTTTAAATAAAAAATAAATAGTAAAAGTAGACATTACGCGGGAAAAACAAAAAATTAAAAAACAATTTATGATTAAGATTTAAGACAATGTGCACAGTTGCATACTTGGCACTTGCATTTCAATGCAATATAGACGAACAATCGTCGTGATTCKGASTACCTATAAGTTATGACAGTGATGTATGAATTGTCTCACTACGGAAATCGGACGGATCTAAATATCTATGATTGCTAGATAGGTAGGTACTCATTGTGAAGTCGTGATAGTGCACCCAATTTGTCGATATTTTGRAGAGATTGTTCGAAAATCTGTTCTGAAAGCGGTCGATTTCAAATGGCCTAAGTAATCGCTATACCTGCAGCCAACAGACGCATTACTCCATGTCTAATATACAAATACCTACTTACATAATTTTAGTCCAAAAGGTTAGGATGATTTTTAATTTTAGATACTGTCAGTATCATACTGAACGGAGCGAAGAATGTATTGATTTTACAAGGATGAGTTTTTTTTGTTTTGTTTTTATTTTTATGTGTCATCTGTCAATACYTTTYGAAAGAGTGAAAAATAAAAATGATTTGATATGCTCTGTAGAATTTTTCTGGTAGAAAGTGAATCTAGTATTCTAGTTGAAACCTTAGTTTTCCAAAGATTCAAGTAAAGCAAACATGAAATTAAGGAAATACTGAGATTTTTACAAGAAACCAACTTTACAAAAAAAAAAAATTAATAAATTGAATTTTTAACATAACTACTGTAAAACAAATGTACGAGTACGAATACAGATTACATCTTCACTGAACATTTATATTGGGAATTTCTGTGCACCATAACATTTTTATAATATTGCTACTCTTTTTTTTTTTTAGCTATTTGTAGGCATTTGTTAATTTTGAGTTTTATTTTTAAATTTTTGTGGATACAAAATTTTTCACTGTGATGAGTATAAAAAATATGAAAATGTAATTATATGTAATAATAATTTTCATATTTTGTGGCTAATGCTAATTAAAACAAAATTTTGAGATGTTGAGCATAAATMCTCATCTATAATAACTTTTTTATAAGCATCAAAGGTTAAAATACAGACAAAATTCATCAAAATTACAAAAATTGGCAAATTATTACAAGATAGGTAGGTACCTATTCATTAAAAAATGTCTATATATATCCAAGCTATTATCATGTATACAATATTACCCTAACTTTTCATACATTTAATGGAAAAAAGGGTACCAGAAAGTCAAATAAATTTTTTATAAGMGTTTAAGCTGGACATTGGATATTCATCTGTAAATTAATAAATTTTCATACAGCGATTCAATTATTTTTTATTCAAAAACTAATAACCATAAGTACTTGAAACTGTATATTTTTTTATAGGTACATGATAAAATTTTCAAAATTAATTTTGAGTTACTTATAGAAGTTTTAAATTGAGATTTTTTTTTTAGCTTTTTACTTAATAAATGTCAATAAAATTGTATTTCRGTATTTGTTGTGTCAATATGCTTGAACATTTAAATCAGAATTTTTCATAAATAGATAGGTAGGTAAGTACTTTAATAGAAATTGAGAAATATTAATTAAGATCAATAAAAGGATGCAACATTTTTTTGTAATTATTTAAAATAAATGTTTACAAAAATTATCAAAATCTTAAAAATATGCTAATAATTATTTTGTAGTTAAATTAAGGTCTTAATGTCTTATAGATAAGGATGGAACATTTAAAACCACAATTCTCATAAATATTTCT